TATTTGCGTACAAATATAGTGCCATCTAATGTTATGAAGGATGAAACACTTCTAAGTAGTCTTTTTATCGAAGCCGAATATTTTCGTTTACATGCTCTAATCGATATATTAACGGATATGTATTTTCCTGATGGAACATTACTTCAAAAAGAACATAAGAAGAAACTAAATGAATTTTATGGTAAGACTAATCAACAATGGGAATTGATTTATAAAGCTTCACGTGATGGATTTGATGCAAATGCATTTCATTCACGTTGTAATAATAAAGGACCAACAATGACAATTATTCAATCAAATAACAACTATCTTTTTGGAGGTTATACAGCCATTCCATGGACTTCGAATATTACATATAAGAATGATACAACAGCATTTTTGTTTACTTTGACCAATCCTCATGATATCTCACCGACTAAATACCTCATTAATCCTGGTAACATAGGAAATGCCGTTTATCATCACAGTGGCTATGGTCCAACATTTGGAAGCGGCTACGATATTCATTTGGCAAATGTTAGCAATTCGAACAATTCAAGTTACACTAATTTCCCTCATGGATATCTCGATACCACTGAAAAGGGTAATAATACATTCACTGGAGCTAAAAATTTTACCACATCTGACATTGAAGTTTACAAATTAGCTTAAATTATTTTTCTTGCTGCTTATTCTTAATGCTCATTAATGAAGAAGAACTCCTTTATGACTATTATGATCCTAAAGTGTGTATAATCCAGAAATTATTGTGATTGATGTCTAAGAAAATAAAAATATGCGTGTTTGTTTTCTTGTTTGAAAATACTCTGCACAATCAATTTCCATTTAGGCCGACTAATCAGAAATTTGAATATAAGAAATCGTCTTTTAAATATTACATCAATGATATTAACACAATTCATATCTTCTCTATTGAATGTAAGAAATTGCTATAAAATGAAAAACCTCTAAATATTTTAAAAACAATATGGATTTAGTCGTTATCATTCATTGATTGATTCGAAAATGAATCAACTTATAGAAATTGATTCTTGAATTGTTTCACTTACTTCTATAGACATAAAATTAAAAAGCAAAATCTAAGAATTCACTCGTACAGATAGACGATACGATTGAATTTCAATGTTAGTTACTATCCTAATCACCGAGATTATGTTTTAAAAGATTTTCATGCATGATTGAATGGAATAGTCAGATAGAACTTTGGATAAAGACAAAATTACATGCTATCTATTCAACAGAACAGAGTTGCGCCTGGGATAGCACAATCCTTTTCCATCGGTCTGATGAGATGCAATTCTTTTGAAAAAAAGTATCATACGACAGGACAGCAAATTTTTAGAATCATCCCATCCATGGGACGAAATATATTTAGAGAAATATCTCGTCTCATCCTATGTAAGGTTTTGAAAATTGTTTATCCCATAGGCCAAACATATTTTACAGATGTTTTGTTTTTATTTCTGTAAGTAGTTAAGTACTGTATCCATCGGAATTCGACAAGACAAATAATAATCAATCAACATAAAAAGTAAAAAAGCACTTCGATCTATTGTAATGCTAACAAATGATTTGATTTTGCTTCTACTTAAAATCAATAGTATGTCTTCGGACAACTCATCGTCTTTTGTTCAATATTAATGTGATCGACTTGATTTAATAAGCTCGGTCACTGTTTCGTCTTTTTCTATAATCACTAGACCCTCATCTCTTATTTTTGATTGTGCACCAGCTGTTCATAAATTTACAACTAAACAAACTACTCGTTTACTAGAAAAAGATTCATCAAATTATTGAGTCATTAAAAACACAAAGAAGAAATTATCGTCGAATTTTTGACAGGTTATTGATTTTCCAGCTAACAAATCATGTATAGAAGGAGGCCTTGAATCTATTCCAGGCATTGTCAGTTATCAATCATATTTTCAGTCGTATAAATTTACATCGAGTCTTGATAAACGAATATTCAACATAGATAGCTGTGCTCAAAAGTTATCTTCTAGTACAAGAAAAAGATCGTCATCGATAAATGGAGATGGAACTCAAATGAAATAAGAAACAGTTTATATTTATAGAGAGAATTCATTGCGTTATTCCATTCTTAAAATAAGTAAAAGAAATGTGAACTTCGTTACAATAAAATTATCAAATATAAAATAAAATGATGTAAAATTGGGTGAGTACTAATGAAAATGATAGATGTGTTCAAAGTTTTTAAAAGATATTTGATATAGATGGATTCCCATCCCATCCCATGAGAAACCCTGGAACACAACTTATTTTGTTTTAATTTAATTTAATTTTATCATGTCATATCTTTTAAGATATAAATTCACAAGAAGAGAAGCATTGATTTGAAATAAAACTCAGTATTGTCATTTGTTTTTTATTGATGGTATTATTATCTTATCTTGTAATTATGAGTGTAGGTGTGGGTATTCTTTTTATCAACATTCATTCACATCCATACTCTCCGACCCTATTCAATAAGTATAAAAATAAAAAAGCTTCATCAATGACAATTTTCTAAAATGGCTCATAAATGATTTGACGATAGATTGAATATCGTCATTGATATTTTTCTTCATGATAGATGACTTGTCAACGTTTTTATTCATGAGAAAAATGTCAAATAGATACTATGTAGAATCAGCACTATTGAACTTCATGAAGAAATACAAGATGGATTAACAGAATCTTATCCTGATATCTTCGCCATACTTAGTAGTATACATATGAACTTTTTAGCAAATATTCTACCTTAGAAATATAGGTCAATAAAACTAGCTTGAAGTCGTCTACTTCAAACATAGAGAAGTTATCATCGATGGTCATTCTTGTCACAGTGAGTCCCATAATTCAAAATGAGAACAAGGTTATGACTAGGCAAATCTGTCATTATGTAATACTCTAACGCAATTGTTGATGTTATAACTGAGACCTATCGATAATTGTTGAAAATACTATCTTCGAAAAATTTGATTTTTTCTATGTAAAACTATCATACAAGGTGTCCGAAAGTAAGCCTTGGTATAAATAGTCATGTGGGCAGTTATTTGTATTGTGGATAGACCGATGTAAATCACCAATAACGATCATATGTACATTGAACTCAACTATAGATGATAATCAGTACTTTTTATTACTTATCTGATGGGTGACCCAGCTATTTTCAAAGGGTTCGATGGAACTTTTCAAGCGGTTCAAAATGCTATAAAAACATCAAGGAAAAAGTATTGACCACACAAAACTATCCGAAGAAGACTATTATTAAGATTTGATTTTGTTGTCTAATATCTAGTAGATTTCAATTAAAAAATACGATGTAAATACGACTAACATGATATTCTAGATCAACAGTGAAATCTGTGTGAACTTCTTTGCATTTTTAAAATGTTCGCAAGCTTGGTTTTTCCTCAAAAATTCATTCGTAATTTCTTCTAAGTGGTGAATCAAAAAAAACTGAATTTCGTGAAAAATTCTGTCTTTACTCTTCATTCATCTGCTATTATAGTTCTACTATCGTTTTTATAAAACTTAAAACGAGATCTCCACTTTCAAAATAATTTTTCAATGGTATACTTTATTGATACCCTCCTCAGGGGACGAGAAGTAAATGTTGCAAAATTTTTTCAAGTATACATCAATCCACTCATCTTTGGATGCTGATTCAAAAGATCAGATTAGTTTTTATTCAATTTGTATTTTTCTAATCGAAGCCTACTGAATATTAGCAATAAAATCATAAAATTTGAATGTGATCTTGACATAACAGAAACCAACTTTCATAGAAGGCTGATTTCATCAATTATCGGCCCTTTCTTCTTTTACTCTAGCAATCTTGTGAAATAATCATTGTAGTTACATTAATTAATTGAAATCAATAAGAAAAAAAATGGTTTATCGAGCCATCAACTAACATACACATATTCATAAATTATGTTTTTAGTTCATTTACTTTTCTAGTAAATTTATATTGATAACTTTTATATGTCTTTGAAATAATACATGCATATTTATACCATACACAGTTTTGCAGAAGCTCTTTTACTTAATATCATTAGCTGAAAAACTTATTCCAAAACTTCATAAGTGAGCATTTCCTTTCATGATGAAGATTTTTCTTGAAACTCATTAAATGATAAAAATAAAACATAACTCAAAAAATATTGAATTCAATGGAATTTATTTCAGTGTTCGACATGAGGTCGCAACAATCAACGTAATTTTGACCCGACTCGGGTCAAATCACGTTGAATGTGGCGACCTCATGTCGAACACTGATTTATTTTTTTATTGACAAAACGCATAAATTCTAATTGTCTATGCATTGTTTTTAATATTCAATTTGAAAAGCGATTGTGGTAACCATTTAAGGGAATCCAACGAGTTAAGGGAAAATATGGACGCCAGTATAGAGGCACAAGGAATCGATTAATGCGAAAATAGAATTGGTTATGCCTATGACAAATTGAACCTGTTTATATCAGTGATGACTCACTTAGCAACTGTCAAGATATCATCGTTTGACAGCATTGCTGAACAGTTTTTACTTTAGATTATTCTTCGACATCAACAAGTTATTTCAATCAGCAACTTGATTTAATTTAAAGTTGTGTTGCAAGAAGTATTTTATTAGAATTATTCTAGTCCACAAGAAACAAAAAATAAGACTTTACAAAAAATAAAAAACAAATTAAAGGGTTGAAAAAATATGTGAAACCTATATAAATGGTATAAGAAAAGTATGAGCAAAAAAAAAGAATATACAAAACCACATAGTTCATCATCATTTAATATAAAATGCTTTTGATAATATGTGTGTGCCTTCGTTGTTTCTGAAGAGATCGTCAACCATATTGTCCTCTTTGTGATCTGTACATGCCACCATACCAATGAAATGACCAGGTTTATGACTCGTGGTGCCGAGCAATGAATACCTAAATAGTGCAGTGAAATATTATATCTCTATTTTTTCTGATAATTCTCTTAAATCATGTTTACTTTTGTTGTTTGACATAAATATGATGTGGAACATTAGAAGTTGTAATAGCTGGATCGACATTAGAAATCATTAAGAGCGGTGGATATGTACTGTATAAAAATGCTGGCGTTCCAAACGAACGTTCACCAGCACAGACGACATAGAGACTATAACATCAGAGATTTTGTACAAACATTTAGTTAATGAAACTAACCCTGATTCATCTGAATTATTATTATCTTCCATGATCTTTATTATTTTCACGTATTTCAGTTCAGCATGTTTCGGGACTGGCGTACTCGTTGACCACTTCACTAATTCAACACCACAAGTTTCTGGATATCGAGTATCATATTGAGCAACAACTGGATCCTGTAGTTGACCATTGAGCACGCTAAATATTAGAAAGAAGAACAAAATATTTTGAACATCAGTCTAGGTTTTTCATTCTGAAAGCTGCGTAATCGACTGAACCATTATTTATAGGAAGCAAAAAGAATGATAAATTGAAATCGCATATTGATGACTACATTGTGCAAATTTCATTCGATTTATAATTTAACTATATATTAACTACAATAAGTATAAATAGTAAGCAAAATATCTGAGAATTTATAAGAAAGATGTTAACTGAGCTTGAGTGGATGTTTTTCATTATTAATGAAACTCAATCATCAATATTTGATTTGAAGCTGATCCTTCTAGCATGGAGTCTTTTTAGAGTCTAGTAAATCTATAGCTTAACAAATGAAGATTATGTTTGAACTTTAAGCATTAAATGAAGACTTACTTAAATGATAAATACGAGTTTTGAAGTGTTTTTCTTTTCATGACGCATTGAGTACTGTTGCAAATTGTTTCAACTTCATACTTTTGTACGAGATTAGCCAAGTGATTTGCAAAAAACTCATCTTCAGAACCGAAACAATTCACGTAAATATCAGCTATCATCTTTTCCTCTATGCAACGATGTTCAGCCATTTGCCATTCATAAAGCTCATTTTCCATCTTATTCTAAAACATTATAACATACAATTATTGAAGTATTTTAACGAGTGCAATCAAGATTCTTTGCAGGCATATCCATTAATAGCTACACAAGATTGCTGGTCAATAGTTGTACTATCTTTAATAAACTAGTCTTGAATAAACTAATAAAAAGAATTTGATATCTTTGCTCTCGAACACCCTCAATCTGTGTTGTTTCAATATAATTCAGAGAAAAGAAAAAAGTTAGATATCTATTGAAATACCTTTAATTGTTTAAACACCGCTGCACTTCGATGCTGCTCATCCAATGCTCGATCAACAACACCGATCATTTTTGCCCAAATAAAGCGTGCCATATTCCAATCTAATGCCCGCAATAAAGGTTCCATCTCAAGAAGTGTTTCAGCTACAATATTTGTTTGTGTTGAAGCTTTGAGAAAATTTTGTAGATGATTATTTTTAAGAAAAGCAAGGCGAATAAATGATAGAAAATAGTCTAGAGTACAAGTTGCAAGAAAAATTAAGGTTAGATTTCCTTGAACCACACAACCACCATTATTGGGAACAGCTGGAACACAAAAAATACAATTTTTTAATTTTTCCTTTTCTTGTCGCTCTCTCAAAACATCAGCTGTTTCAGGATCTGTTCAAAAAAAACAGAAGCGTTTAAAAAAGTACAAACAGAAATAAAATAATCTTACAGAAAAAAGGAATTTCGAAGCTATGTTCACCTAAATCACAGTAAACATTTTGCATTAATTCCTTTTTAGAACCATTTGGACTGAATTCATGATGCTCTAAAAATAAATAATACTATTTAGGCGCCCAAAAAACTGTATAGTGATAAATTTTGCACTTATCTGATGTAGATTATTTTTCGATAAATGATTTTTTGCATAAATGGTTATGAAATTATATGCATAATTTAAAAAAATTCAAAAAAAAACCTATAATAATCAACTTTATAGCATGATACTCACCGTTAGAAGAATGCAACTGAGATGGAATTGTTTTGTTTTCGATTCTCTTTTGCTGCTTGCAGCAGTTATTAATCGTCAACTTAGAAGAAGTCAGCACATTATCGAGCTGATTTATTGTGTTATCAAGCTGATTTATTGTATCATCAAGCTGGTAACACGTATCAGTAGCAGCATGTTTCGATGAGATTTTGCTACTTAGAGAATTTTTCGAATTGATTTGATCTAAATATCGAACGAAAAAAATGATTTTCAATGGAGATATAAATAGTATTAAGTATTGCAGTAGAGAATAGTCTTAGCATTTTTTTTATTTTAACGCATATTGATGTTTAATAAATTATACAAACTAAAGTTTCAACCATTGAATTTTCCTTTATTTCTTGATTATCAAAGGAAACTGTAGACTTTTCATTCTTAGAACTGATGAGTGCTGTTGACTAATTCTACAATAGCTAATGTTGTTGTCTATTTTACTTTCAGCTATAGACCAACTTTACAGAAAATCTTCTTAATTATAGCTTATTTGAAAAAGATTGATTTTTGAATGGTTTTTCTCTATTTTCTTACTCATTAGAAAAATAATGGACTTTTTTAACATATGATGCAATTGGTATATGCTTACCTGTTTTTAATTTCTTTACCGTATTCTTTAACATTGAGTTTTCTTTTCTTGTTCTCTTAGCTGCACTTTCTAGTCGTTGTTCTTGTTCTTGAACGGTTCGACAAGTTATATTATCCACAAAAAACCAATCTTCTCGAATACGATCACTATATTCATATTGCACTAAGTATAAAAAATCAGCTTCTTTTGTTTGCATAACAATGCCAGGACAAATGATATTTTTTCTTTTATACAAGTCAAATTTTTTGCCACTTAATTTTACCATAACATGATCTAAAAAACATAACAATTCATAAAACCATTGTTCTAATGGCTGTAATAATGCGGTAGCATCTCTCATGCAAATATCCTTGAAGTACACGCGTACCCAAAGTAGCTAATAAAGTTGAAAACAAAATGTCTGCAAAAACACGATTACTTTTATAAAACATGCAGAGCATCATAGAATCAATGCAAAAAGTAGCCAATATCACATGGTACAATACTACCAATCTTGTAAGATACGGCACAAGCATTTTTTTCATAAATGAGCTTTTGCTTTGCATAATATTTTTTAATTTTTTCATTAGCTGTTAGTCTAGCCTTTTCTTTATCTTGTATTGTAGCAGTTAGAACATTCGTTGGTAAGCAGTCTTCATCATCAAATTCAGCATAAGACTATAGCAAAATTAAGTAGGTTGGTCTCACATGGATATTTAGTAGGCAGTCAGACTATAAACGTTAATATACTTTACTATTACAAGGAAGTCCTATCTGTTTTCGCTTCATCGGGCACTGTATGGCATTCAGTAAATGCACTAGGACATTATATGGTACAATAAAAAAATCAATCGGATACATGAAACCTTGGTTATTAGAAAGAATCAGGTTCTTTATTAAGGTTTAGTAAATTATGAAATAAACTTTTCCCTGATATTCAATAAAACTGCATCTGGTGCTTCAAAAGAGAAAAATGCTGTAGATTTTTTTATATCATACTTGTTCGATTTCTTCTTCATCAATATTCATGCTTGAACTAGTTGTGATAACAGCTTCACGACCAAAATATACAAAAAAAGGAGTCAGGTTTCCTACAAATATTAAATAAAACATGATGAAATAAAATTGGAGGATGAAGTCGCAACGAATACCAAGACCACGATGTTTGGACGTATTATAAATTTGAGAATAAGAGGGTAGACTAGCAGCCCAATTGGTATTACCATTGATAAATACATCAAAAAACATTTTATTTTTCCAAGATCGATTTAATCTTTCTACCTAAATTAATTTTAGAAAATACTTAAATATAAAGTAGCATGTATGCTGTCTAACTAACTTTTCCCTGAGATTCAGGATGATAAGCACGAGATCGAATATGTTTAATGTTTCTTTTAAGACACAGCTCATCGAATAAACCTTGAAACTCAGTACCTTGATCAGTTTGGATAATGGTTGGTGTTCCATGTTCACAAAAAATAAGCTCCAGATGATCACAAACCTCCGCTAGTAAATAAAAAACAAATCAACTATTTTCCTAATACGTTCGAGAAGATGTTCATCATAGCATGTTTTTATTTTTTTTTATATATATTCTTTCCTTCTGTTATGGCCTTATCAAAAGGTAATTGAAATCGCTATATATGAATAGAAATATTTGTTTTAAAAATCTTCCTATACAATTTTTTTATAGATAAATTAAACAAAATTTACTCATACCTGAGCTTTTTTTGGTTAACGGCCGTAAGAACATGTATCTCGAGAAGACATCAACTATAACGAGTACGTATCGAAATTCTATACCATTGTGCAACGCAGTGCGACGAGAAAGATCAACAAGATCAATCTGCAGACGCTCAAACACTTGGTTAGCTTGTATAATTTTTTTTGGACCTTTATTCGAAAATGTTGGATGCATTCGACCACATGAATTATTGGCTTTAACCACTTTCGCTATTCGAGGTTCTGATATTTTGTTGTATATCTGATCTAAATCACAAATATTATTATGAGGCACAAGCTATTGCACAATGAGTTGTTCATACTCAAATGATAATGAAGAGCTCGGGTACCACAACCAAATTTGACTCCATAATGAGCCAATATTACCTTGTCTACTTCTTCTTCAGCTAATATTACTAATCCATTGATATGTAGTCGTTCTTCATTCACGAACATGGGATGGTCTGTATGAGCCTTTATACTCAAAAGTTTGCGATTCTTACGTAAATATTCATATGCTCGATAGACGTCGTCATTCATCATTTTGGCTTCGACATGAAACGAGGAATTTTCCTTAATACACGTATGTACCAATGTCAATACCTTTTCAGGTAAATGATGATACCGTTTGGTCTTTGTGTCTAGAGAACATCAGCATGTATATTTGTATAAAATTTAATCATATTTATCATTCACAAACCTATTGAGGACTCGTCAAAAGCTGACATAATTTCGATGAATTAATAATATGAAAATCTGAAGAATTGAAATAAAAATACAATTATATTACACTCTTAGATTAGATTAAAAAGCCCAATGATTAGAGAAACTTTGAGCAGATTTGTGATAGCTTACATAAATTATTATAAAAATAAATATATCAAAGATTTCTATTATATTCGATAGATATTTCAACCTTTATGTCATTCATATTAAAGAAATATAAATATTGCATAAAAATTTTCTTTTTAATTTCTTAAAATAAGGAATATTCTACTTCTTTGTTGAATTTCAATGCTACAAGTTCAATACTAGTCTATTTCTTCGATTTGATACTAATAATTACTAGTGTCGATGTTAACACCTGGTAAAAAATTATCAAGAAAATTGGTTTGATCGAGTATAAAAATGTAGTACGATGTTTTGTTCTCAATCTGTATCAAAGATGCAACTTCTATCAAGCTTTGTCAAACGATGATATCTTGACAGTTGCTAAGTGAGTCATCACTGATATAAACAGGTTCAATTTGTCATAGGCACAACCAATTCTATTTTCGCATTAATGGATTCCTTGTGCCTCTATACTGGCGTCCATATTTTCCCTTAACTCGTTGGATTCCCTTAAATGGTTACCACAAGCGATAGAAGGAAGAACAACCTGCATGGCTCCTCAAGTAATTGCATCAATGCAGAGAAATAAAAATCATGCAATGTGTTCTTGATGTTTTTCTTTCTTCTCAACTCGGTTTATTTGTCGCGTCTAATCCACGTATTTCAATCACAACATAAGTAACGAGGATCATATCGTTTCTCTTCAACTTTGAATAATAAATAAGACACTATAGAAGTAATCATTTGGCTAAAAAGACAAACAAAATGGATTCCAATTTAAACACTCTTGGAGAAAACATCAATCAGCTAGAAACTCGTTTCGATACGTTACGCGAGGAGGTCATTTCGAAATTAAATCAATGTAGTGATTGTATTAAATCTGCTAAGCAATTATATCATCAAGCAACAGAAATGAATACCGTCTTAGAAAACAAATTAGTTAATGCATCAAATGAAGAAAAAGAATGGAAAGATATCAAAGCTAAATTAGCAACAACATCAATTCAAGGCAAAGTTATACTTGATGTTGGAGGTGATAAATATGCTACAAGTGTTGAGACATTAACACGCGAAAAAAATACTTTCTTCACTGCACTCTTCTCTAAACAATGGCAACTTGAAAGGGATCCTGATGATAAAAGTATATTCATTGATCGAAATGGTAAAATCTTTACGTACATTCTTGAATATTTGCGTTCGAATACGGTGCCACCTAATGTTATGAAAGATGCAACACTTCTAAGTAGTCTTTTCATCGAAGCCGAATATTTTCGTTTACATGCTCTAATCGATATATTAACGGATATGTATTTTCCTGATGGAACATTACTTCAAAAAGAACATAAGAAGAAACTAAATGAATTTTATGGTAAGACTAATCAACAATGGGAATTGATTTATAAAGCTTCACGTGATGGATTTGATGCAAATGCATTTCATTCACGTTGTAATAATAAAGGACCAACAATGACAATTATTCAATCAAATAACAACTATCTTTTTGGAGGTTATACAGCCATTCCATGGACTTCGAATGTTACATATGTGAATGATACTACAGCTTTTTTATTCACTTTGACCAATCCTCATGATATCTCACCGACTAAATACCTCATTAATCCTGGTAACATAGGAAATGCCGTTTATCATCACAGTGGCTATGGTCCAACATTTGGAAGCGGCCACGATATTTATTTGGCAAATGTTAGCAATTCGAACAATTCAAGCTACATTGGTTTTCCTTCGGGATACGTCGACACAACTGGAAAGGGTAATAATACATTTACTGGAGCTCGAAATTTTACCACATCTGACATTGAAGTTTACAAATTAGCTTAAATTATTTGTCTTGCTGCTTATTTTGAACGCTCCTTTATCAGAATAGTTTATAATTATGTTGATTTTAAAATCTATTTCATCGAGAAAATATTGGTTACGGTGGGTTTGGATGAGTGTTGATAAAAAGAATACCGACACTTACACTTGAATAACTTTCTTTAGATTGATGCTCGAAAAAGTAAAACTACCGGAATGAAAATAGCTAGATTGTGCTCGCTTCAATTGCCAATCTATTTTCTGCATAATTTGTTTTTGCTTTATACTTTAGTTACAACGCAAACACTCTTGTGTAAGAGAGATCTACTCTTATATTTTTCAATGCGAATATTACAATGAGATCGAATAGTCATATCATTCTTAAATTTGATAACAAAACATACTTTTCTTTATTATCTTCTAATTCGCGATACTAAATAGATTTCTAGTTTTTCATGAATTTTTTACTCTATCAAAGTTTGTCTTTCAAAATATTTAAATGAAAACAATGCATCTTATTGTTCGAACGAGTGTTTTAGAACTGGATTTGATGAAAAACATAGAAAAGGACGACGTCGAAGAAGAAATTTTTTTATAAGAAAAACAATAAGAAGAATTTTATTCAGTCATATGAAACTAGAAAAAGTAAATGTATGGGTGTGGGTGCCAGATGGAAGCTGATCCACACCGCCCCCCCCCCCTACACTGCACACCCACATCCAACTCCGTACAATGATTTACTCCTTTTTAACAATTTAAAACAGAACCAATACAAAGTACAAGGTGCAAACAAGGAAACGAATCTGTTAAATTTATCTTTTTTGTTATAACGCTTAAACGTTTAGTTCACTGTTTCTTTCAATCTATATGATGTAGGATTATATGAATATTAAGAGGAATATGATCATTGGTATATCTTGACAGTTTGATTAAATGAAAGGCATGGAAAATGAATTCTATTTATTGCATGTGTTCTTTCGGATCTTATATCTATCGAGAAGAATTGGTCCAATTGAAATGAAAACTGATGACATCCTTTCACCATCTTCGAATTCATTCTTCAATCAATGATGATGTTATTATATATCAACATCTACACGTTATACATATCCTAAAGCATATTTTATAGAGCAATTGACAACTCCACGAAGCTTAGACTTTGTAATAAACTGCGTCAGTTCGATTCATTGAAACGATAACGAATTCAAATGAGCAATGACAGGATGATTGGAGAGTCCTTCGAATAAATTTTGGGAAAAATTTTGTTTACGTTCTTTGAATACAAAAGAAAGGAAAAATATATTCAATATAAAAAAATAATTCTTGTGGGTGTCACCTTTCTCACTGTTTGCTTGATACGATTTCATTTCAACGACAAGCTGACGCATACACACCAAGGAGACACACAACTCAATTCTTTAGTAGAAAATGCAAATTCGCATCCTTTATCGAATTTTGCCTGACAAATATTTTATCAGCAAGTTACTTTCATATTACTATTAACGTTGATATTATCGTCACATACAACAATATGGAAATCGCGTTGAAAATAGCAGATGTCGCCTGGAAAATCAAAATTCTTGTGGACAATGTTCGTGCAAATAGAAAACGATGTCAACGTTTGAACGATCGAATCTCGGTTCTCGTTCCATTGATTCAACAATTACACGGGGAAAAATCGTTGACAACGAAATATACAGCAGCATTGAAACGATTACTCGTTTGTGTTGAACGTTGTTATGCATTTATAAAGAAATTTACTGAGAGTAATTGGTTTGTTCGAGTTTATGATCAAGCATGTCATCGAGATACGTTTGATGAATTAAATCAAACTCTTTATTCATGTGCAACAGATTTAAATTTAGCTTTAGCTGTACAAAATCATTTCAAACGCGAACAGGACGACATTGATCGACGTGATGATCGAGAATTTTTATCGAAGAACTTTGACAAAATTATTCGCTTACAAAGTGAATATTCACAACAACACACAGCTCAACTAGGTAATATTGAACGCATGTTCCAATCATTGATCGATAATAACAAACAGAACCTTGAGGCATTAATGGACGATTACAAACGACAAAAAATGCGTGAAGAGGAAAACCTCTTCGTTCATGTTCAATACAGTCAAGTCATACTCGAACAATTGATCTCCACTGCTAGTTCTGGTAACGTGTACAAAGGACGATGGAGCAATTCGAAAGTTGTCGTCAAAGAGCTGAAGGTTTCTGCTATGAAAGGACATGAACGAGAGGAATTTGTCAAAGCCGTAGAGATTCTTACGCGTATTCGTCATGAAAATATTGTACAACATCTCGGTGCATGTATTGAAGAACCAGACCGTTATCTCGTTCTTAGTGAACTGATGCCTTTGGGATCCTTGAATGTTATTTTACGAGACCAAAAATTAGAATTCACATGGATCGATCGTTGGTCTATTGCTAAACAGATCACAAACGCTATTCTCTATCTTCATACGTATTGTTCACCGCCGATTATTCATAAAGATATCAAATCGTCGAATATTCTTTTGGATTATTATGGTGGTGATCGCCGAAAATATCGAGCAAAAGTAAACGATTTTGGATTAGATCAAATTCATGGTGCGGTTGGCACTCTAGCTTGGTCTGCACCGGAAACTTTGCGAACAATGAACCGACGTGAGTTTAACGCTGCTAGTGATGTTTACAGTCTGGGTGTAGTCATGTGGGAATTGGCCACAAGTCAAGTACCTTATGCAAATCAGCCATCCGAAGAAATCATTCGTCGGATTTGCGAAGGTGAACAATTACCCGTCTCATATGAAT